CCCAGTGGATTGGGCATCGGCCTGTGGACTCAAGGGTCCCAGGTTTCATTCATCCCAGTCAAGGGCACTTGCTCAGGTTTTGGGCTTGATCCCCAGTAGGGAACATGCAGGAGGCAGCCAATCAGTGATTCCTTCTCATCATTGATGTTTCTATCTCTCTCTCTCCCTCTCTCTTCGTCTTTGAAAGCAATAAAAATAAACAAATGAATGAATAAATAAATAAATAAATAAATTACCTTAAAAAGAATGTGCATGAGACACTGTAAAGTAAATGTAATTGTAAGAATCCAGAGAGATCAGCTCACCCTTCATCCAGTTTCCCCATGTGGTCCTGTGTGTGTGTGCATGTGTGTATATTCATATGTGTGAACATATGTGTATATATGTGCATATTTGTATAGTTGTGTATGTGTGTATATGTACTAGTATATGTTTGCCTGTGTATATGTGTGTATGTGTGCATGCATGTATATGTGAACTTATGTGCATATGTGTGTCTCTGTGACTGTGTGTCTGTGACTCTGTGTGTATGTGTATGTGTGTATGTGTATATGTATATGTATATGTGTCTCTGTGTATATATGTGTGTATATGTGTCTGTGTGTATCTGTGTAGATGTGTGTATGTTTCTATGCCACTTGATCACACATGTAGTTTCAACCGTCCACCACCATGGTCATGGTACAGGATGTTTCCATCCTACAAAGATTTTTTTAATCTGATTTCTTCAGAATTAAAAAAGAGTTATTATTTTTTGTGTTAATCTTCCCCACAGGATATTTTCTCCATTGATTTGGATTTTAGAAAGAGTAGAAAGGAGCAGGAGAGACAGAGAAAGAAAAATCCATGTGAGAGAGACACATGGATTGATTGCCTCCTGCAGGCACCCTGACTAGGAATGGGGTTCAAGCCTGCAACAGAGGTCCATGCCCTTGACCAGAATCGAACTCAAGACCCTGCAGTCTGAGGGCGCAGGCTCTAAGCACTGAGAAAAGCCACTGGGGCAGACTTCTTTTTTTATTTGTCTGATTTCTTGGCGTCTTCTAAAGTCTGCTTCCCTCCCCACTTTGTCCCCGGCGCCCAGAACCTCGCCTAGCACGTGGCAGAAAGTCAAATGGATTTACTGGCCGCACGCGGGGTGCATGTCATCCTCAGGACACCCCCATTCTGTGAATGAGAACGCTGGGGCTCAGAGGCAGCACGTGTTCCCAGCTCAGCACTGATGCGGTCCCCCCGCTGGCTTCCAGGCCGGGCTCTGTCTGCTCTGCCTTGATGGACTCGGAACGCAGGAGACTCTGTGCATCCTGTTCCTTTCCGCCTCTTTCCTGTCCATCTGCCGCAGCCCGAACACATCCTCTCCCCCTGCCGGCGGGCCTGGCGTGTCCGGCCCCCTCACAGCTGTGCTGGCCAGCGTCCCCCGTGCTCATCCAAGGCTGATAAAAGCGCCGGGCAGGACGCAGTGGAGCCAGGAGCCTGGAGGCCTGATAACTGGCCCGGCTTTGATGTTTCCCAAGTTCAGGACGGACCCAGGCCCCCGGGCCAGCGCTGCACGCTTGTTTATTTTTGTCCCTGTGTAGGCTTTTTCGATTTCCCCTTCCCAAGTGGGGCAGCCATCATTACTGCTGTCATTACCCTATTGGAAATGCTGCTAAACGAGCTCTCCTGCTCCACCCGCCCACCCTCCCTCCACGGAGGGGGGAAGACCACCCACCACGTCAGGCCTTCCCTCCATTTAATTCCAGTCTCAGGATGTAAGTTTGAATTTCAGCACAATTAAAAAAAAAAAAAAAAAGCCCAATAACGAGGCTGGCCTTTCATATCTCAGACCTGCGGCCCACCCCACCCCGATGAGGCGGTCCGAGGGCGGCCTGAGTGTCCCCAAGAACTGAGGTTCCGGGAGGGCGGAAGGACTACAGAGCAGTTTCGCAAGAAAACTCGCAGCACTGTCCTAAGTGGCGTTCCAAACGAGTTAGATCAGAAAAAGGCAGCGCAGCGGCGTCCTTCCCATAAATACCAATTACTCAGAGGGCACGAGGCCGGCCACCATTTCCTTTGAGGATGCGGATGAGCCCGGGTCAAAATGTCCTAGACGTGAAGGACATTCCTGCAAAGACCCTCACAATTATGAGGATCCCTTCATAATGCTTCCTCGCATGTTGCCTTTCTGGACAGAATGTTCGTGCTTTTTCTCTCTTTTCTTTTTTCCCCTTGGTTTTATTAGTTCAAGTCTAAAATGCACACGCAGTGTGTGTGCACACACACACACGCACGGACGAGTGCACAGCCTCTGCACATACTCCCCACGCCTCCGTTCCCAGCATCCTCCCTCTCTTCGGCCTTTGGAAAATGTTGCAACAGGGTTTGACCATAATGAGATTCAAGTGGGCGATTTGGCCCAGGAATCCTTGCCGGCTTCCACGACCCAACTTCAGTTTCTTCTTTCTTCATCGTGTTCTCCTTGTCTCCTTTTATAGTATTTTTTCTTCCTTCAGGGCAGTAATAAATATTTTTTCAGTGAAAAAATTTCCCCCCATTCTGCTTTCAGTGAGAGCACTGGGAGAGAGCAAGAAGCCTGTGTGTCCAGTCCTTAACTCTTCACTCTACAATTTGGGGGTGGGGGCGGGGAATAAAAGGTCTAGTCAAGGGAATGCCAGCAGAAATGAATGCAAACCTATCAGTGATACCCCAGCCCATCTCTATTGAAGGAAATACAAATTCCAACCACGGGGAGACTTCTTACCAACATCTTGTTGCCGTGTGTGCCCACACATGCTGTGTGCCGCACAACTTCAGGGGGCGCCCTTCCTATGGACGGCAGCGCTGGGCCATGGGCTGAGTAGCAGAGACTGATGTATGTGCAGGACGGGGTATGGGATCAGGTGCTTTCTCACATTCCTCACTGGGCTGGGATTCAGGGCAGCCCTTTGGGGAAGACATGTTTACTATCAGCACTGAAACGTTTTCTCTCGGACTCTGCAAAGCCCCTTTGGCCCCTTGTGCCACAGTTATTGCACACACGTGCGCTCAGATGTACACAGAGCATTGGCTTGCGAACTGAGGGGTCCCACGTTCGATTCCGGTCAAGGACATGTAACTTGGTTGCAGGCACATCCCCAGTGTGGGGTGTGCAGGAGGCAGCTGATCGATGTGACTCTCTGTCCCTCTCCCTTCCTCTCTGTAAAAAATCAATAAAATATATATTTTTTAAAAATAAAAAAAAGAAGTACACAGAGGTTTATTTACTTACTGAAGTACTGTTTGTGGGAGCAAAAGTTTGGAGACAAACTACTAGTAAATGCTTGTTCATAGGGAGTGATTCAAATAAATCATGATATATCCAGGAAGTGGAAAGCCATGCAGCCGTTAAAAGTAGAGAGACAGATCCAAAGTCCCCGAAGGACTACCCTCTGTGAGGAATCAGTGAGGACCTCTGAGGCGTGCCATCTACTCCTCTGACGGGTTGAGTGATGTTGGGCAAGTTATTTAACCTCTCAGGGCCTTGCTTTTCTCATCTGTAAAATGAGAACAATAACAGCACTTACCTTGTAGGGCTGTTAAAAAAAAACAAACAAAAAACTTCATGAATCAATATGTGTTAAACATTCATGACAGTGCTTGGTATATAGCAAATGCTGTACACTCATTAGTTATTATTATTATAATCATCATCATCATAGAAAAGAAGCCACCCATGTGCTGATGTGGGCAGAAGGAAACCCTGGAAGAATACACCAGAACCACAGGGAACAGGGAATGCCATTCCTAGGGAGACTAGGATGAAGCGGAAGAAAATTCATTGTTAACTTTGCCCTTTGAATTTCTACCAAGTGTCTGTATTTTCATTTTTTTTTCTATATTTTAATGAACATTTGCAAGCATGCAGAAAGGTTGAAGAATTGGACAGTGAACATCCATGTACCTGCCATCTTAGCTCTGTAATTTCCAGGTTGCTATACTTGGTTTGCACCCATCCACCCACCCATTCACCCCCCCCCCTTCCTTTTTTTGGAAGTATTTCTAAGTAAACTGCAGATATTTTGCCCATGTACCATTAGCTAGAGCTCAGTATTTGTTTATGGGTTTTCTTTTTTAAATAAAATCCATATAGAGTCAAATGCACAGTTCTGAAATGTCTGTTTGATGGTTTTGATCATTCATTAACCTATTTTATTATTTTTAATTCATTTTTATAATAGCACAGATAGGTATAAAATTCAAAGAAAAGGCCTGGACTTCTCTTATACTCCTAGTGCACTCTTCAGAAGTACCTAGTTAGCAGTTTCTTTTCTTTTCTTTTCTTCTCTTTTCTTTTCTTTTCTTTTCTTTTCTTTTCTTCTCTTTTCTTTTCTTTTCTTTTCTTTTCTTCTTTTCTTTTCTTTTCTTTTCTTTTCTCTTCTTTTCTTTTCTTTTCTTTTCATTAACCTGTTTTAAAAAGAAATGATCTACTAATAAAATATAGCTGAGAGAGAGAAGACAGGAACTGAGACAATGCCATTTAGATTTTTGAACCCATTGGGAGGAAAGAAGCCATCATGAAGCCAACTTGATACCTTATCTAGTGGAGAGGGATTTACGAGCAACAAAGGTTTTTGCAGACCGGTCCCAGCGATGGACTACTCTATTCCCGGAAAGCAATGCCTCCTCTGCCACCTTCCTAGCTAAGCTTCTCGGGCAGGCAGCAAACTAAAGTCGAGGCGCTGGCATCCTTCTGCTGGGGCTACTCTCAGTCCTTCTGCTGGCTCTCTGTGTCCTCTTGGAGCAGTTACTCAGCCGTCCTGGGCCGGGGCCTTCTTATCTGGGCAGATGCTGCTTCCTGCTTCCTGGGCTTGTGGGGAGGGTCCTGTGAGCTGAAATATACAGCGTGTTTCGAAGAGCATCTGGCATCTAGTAGGTGCTCCTTGGCTGTTGTCGCTCTATAAATCAGTCACACATCTCCCTATCTTGGCTTTTTATTTTTTAATTGAATTGGAAAGAACCAAACAATGCGAGGTTACGTGTTCCATCCTTTGGGGACAACGTCATCTCCCTCTACGGTTTTGCTGCCCTCCCCGTCCTCTGCAGAGATCCAGGGAAGTGAATCAGCCTGCAGCCTTTTGCTCTTTCTAATTCTTTGATTACTACATGATTGCAGCATCCACTCAGTCCGGGGCCTAAAAATCGAAAGAAAACAAAAAATTCTTGAGTCATTTCCAGATACTGAATCTGACACCACTATTCCTCTCTCCGTTTTGGCAAAACCTACAAAATGAGTGACCAAGAAGGGTAAACAAGTTTGGGTAAACACTCCCTATACTGATTCATGATTTAAGTACATCAGTTAACATTTAGCTTCATTTACCACAGTGTTTTAATGTCATTAAGAAAGTAACTTCTTAGGAAAACTAAGAAAGTCTGTTTTTAGCCCAGACATGCAATTAAGGGAATTAGTAACGTGATACAGCATCCCCAGGAACTCCGATATAGTAAGAAATCTCGTGCAAACCTTTATAAAGACGTCCTTACAACCCACGCCAGAGTTCACCGAGCTTCGATCCGAGGGCAGCAGGGAGGGGGAAATAAAAGGAAATCACTGCCCCAGCGCTGAACAGCAGTAAGGAAGGATTTGCAACCGAGTGCAGATATTAAACTGTCGTAAAATCAGGACTCATTCGCTTTCCTGTCTGGATCACTCTCAAGCTGTCACTCCAGCTTTGCCAGGATTTGTGTGTGAGACAGGGGTGGGCATTGGGGCTGGAGATTTTTTCTTCTTTTTGGGGATCTTGATAGAGAATTCCACTTCTGACCAGTTTGGGGTTTGGTTAGTTTCTGGGTGCTGAGACCCGCTAGGATCAGAGCGTCTCCGCTTGGTCACTATTGACATAAGAGGCTGGACAGTTCATTGGGGTGGGGCCGGCCTGGGCATTGCAGGGTGTTGAGCTGCATCACATCCCTGGATTCTACCCATTAGAATCTGGAGTCCCTCTGCCTCCATTGTGGCAACCAAAAATGCCTGCTGAATGCCCTGGGGAAAATCACCCTTGAGTGAGAACCACTGCTCTTAGTTAATCCACTCATTTTGAAGATGGGGAAACTGAGGCCCAGAGAAGCAAACTAGAGTCAGGAACCAGGCTGTAGGGACTGAAGCGCAGAGCCCGCCCCTGGATTCTGTGCTCTCAGGGCCCAGTTCTCGGCCTCCCTGAGGATCTTTCCCTGGTGGACCCAGCGGGACCACCACGACCCTGCCATGGAATAACCCCCAGGACCCACTCCGGATGCTGGCTGTGAGCATGGAGCCATGAGGAGGAACAGCCAAGGGCACCGATTTCAGAGTCAGGTTCACATGCTGACTAGGCCTAGCCTGGAGAGACTGGGCAAATTTTTCAACTGTTCTGCATTGCAGTTTCTCGTCTATACAGCAGGCATGTCACCTAGTGCCCCCTGCAGAGTTCTCCTCAGGAGAATCGAACAAAATATTGTACATCGACCTCTCAGTGCCCTGCACAGGGTCAGGCTCAGATCTGTTGAGTGTTACTGGTGTTGTTGGGATTGTTGTTGGTAAATGGTGTTAGATGAGGAAAGGGGAAGGAAGGGGGGGAGGGAGGAATGGAGCCCTGATCCCCAGGGCCTGTTGCCTCTGAGGGCGGCTCAGTTGCTGGCCTAGAGAGTTGCTTCCTCTCATCCTCTGTTCCTCAGAGCCCACGGCGCCCTGACCCACCTCCAAATGGCCACTTGGCTCTGTCCACCTTCCATCCTTCCCTGGTTTTTCCAGCCCTCACATCTCTTTTTTCTACAAATCTCAAGTGGTTAGAATGGTTGCACAATTTCATGTTGCCTGCTCTTACTCCGTTCTTTTTTTTTTTAAAATATGGAAATTTAATACATTTTATTTATTTATTTATTTATTTATTTATTAAATATATTTTATTAATTTTTTACAGAGAGGAGGAGAGAGGGATAGAGAGCTAGAAACGTCGATGAGAGGAAAACATCGACCAGCTGCCTCTTGCACACCCCCTACTGGGGATGTACCCGCAACCAATGTACATGCCCTTGACCAGAATCGAACCCGGGACCTTTCAGTCCGCGGACCAACTCTCTACCACTGAGCCAAACTGGTTTCGGCTCTTACTCCGTTCTTATTGGCACTAGCATCTGGCCTCTCAGGGCAGCTGTGAGAGTGACTTTGACTGAATCCTTTAACCTCTCTGACTTCAGTGTCCTCACCTGTGCAGGAGGCCTCATCTGTGATGAGGGGACCTTCTCCACTGGGTTGGGCACAAAGGGTCCTCACCCTCTGCGCAAGGCCTATTGGCCACCTTGTTTCTCTGCGCCCTCAACCCTGGGCACCCAGCATGAAGCTGAGACTGTGGTAGGTGTCCAATCAATGTTGAACATAAGCAAATGCAGGAATGAGAGACTGGGTCTATACCTCAGCGGGTGGTCTGTCCACTTCTTTTTCCAGAAATAAAAAGTGAACAAAAGACAGGGATTATTGTTTGGATTTTATGTGGACACAGCAAAGATTACTTTCTTATAGGGTAAAGGTCATCCATCCATCCACATTCCCATCCACCTATCCATCCATCCATCCATCCATCCATTCACCCATCCATCATCCTATCCATACATGCACCCATCCATCCATCCATCCACCTACCAATCCATCTATCCATTTGTCCCTCAAAAAATGTATTCTACCCAGTGCCAGGCGCTGGTTGGTATAGGCTTTGAGGGTGAAGAGGTATTTCAGTGCCTATTGCCTCAGAACAGAGGTTGATCCAGAGGAGATATCATAGCATATTTGTTGAAGAATGGATGAATAACTGTTTGAATGAATGAGCAATATGATGGGTGAAGAAATGAATGGCATCAGGGTAGAAGGGTCCCAGGAAAACCAATTAATAGTTGTCTCCAGCCTCTGCTATCTCTGGCCTTTGGCTCTGTCTGTGGACCCAGGTTCCTCCATGCTGAGGGCCAGGAGAACATTGAGGGGGTGGGTGGAGAGGCATCTCCCAGAACGTGGACTCTTTCCGGGCAGGTGATACCGGCCAGTGACTTGGGAGCATGCGCTCTCATGCTCTCGGCCCCTCCCCAAGAGGACCTGGCCTCCATGCTGGCTTGCTTCATCCTCCCCAGCTGATCCCCTTGGGGAGCTGGCGCACCTATCTGGCAACTTCCATTCCCTTCTCTATGGAGCTCAAAATCTCCCTTCTTTTCAGAAAACACAGTCAGAACAGCTGGCCACATGGTGATGCTTGTTGGCACAGACACCGGGCTGCCCCTGGCATTCTGGGGAAACTTGAGGAGGGGTGGGGAGAGTCGTGCTGTCCTGCGCTCTCTAGCATAGAAACTGGTTGAAGCTGGTTGGAGCTGGTTGAAGGAGACACTTAATTTATTTATGTGGATGGTTATCAATGCCACTTCCCACGTCACAGCCGAAGCCAGGTTGGGATGGAGCTGGGAGGGCCCGAGCAGGACCAGCAGCATGGGGTTCCTCCTCGGGCCCCACCTCCCTGAGCGTGGGAGGATGGAGTAGGGTGAGCTAACCAAAGCATTGCCTGGTCATGCCAGACGGCCCCTCAGCGGTGGTTCGGCCTCCAGCCACACCTTGTTTCTCACTCCGTAAGGAAGATGGGATGCCCACACGCCCAGATTTCAAACCCCAGCACTTTCTCACCTTGTAGCTGAAGCAAGTGGAGCAGGGGATGAGGGCGGGGCAGTGAGACTCCTTCAGAACTGTGTCTGCCTCGTAACTGCGGGATATTTGTTGACCAGCTGCTTTGGACCAGCCCCCTGCTAAGTGCTTTGCACAGGTCAGCTCACTCTCTCCCACAAACCCCCTGGGTGCATTTTGTACACTGTGAGCAAGATTCAAGCAACCAGCAGCCACGCCACAGGGCCAGGCCTGGGCCCCAGTCTAAGCACCTCCAGGGGGTCCCTGTAGGATCAGGGTTGAGCTGTGAGACTGGGCTGATCAGTTCCCTGCATGCAGATGGCAGGCCAGCTGCCCGTTCTGCAAGTGGAGAGTCTGGGGTGCGTGTGTGGGCAGGCAGCTCGGCCAGATTCCCTTGCTTCCTCAGCCTGGACCAGAGGCGGACAGAGAAGGCGAACCGGGGACCCCTCAGTCCGCAGTCCACTGAGCCAAACCGGTTTCGGCAACGCATTCTTAATCAAGGTCCACGCTCAGGCACTCCGTACCTCCAGCCTTTTCACAATGCGCCCCACTCCCCATGGTGGGGAGATTGGGGACCTTAGAGAGTACAGCAGGGAGACCAGCCTTACTCCGTGAGAGGGAGGACCAGTGCCTGCCATCAGAATTCAAGAAACACCTTTAAGGGCTGAGGCAAAGGAACTTCTTCACTAGAATAACAATTTTTTTTTTATTTTTATTTTTTGCTTTGGCTTCTTTCTTTCTTTTCACTTCCCTCAAATATCAAGCCCAGGATGGAAGATCCCTTCAAATCTCATTTTATAGTTTGGAATTTTTTTTTCTTGTTGCTTCCTAGCAGAGACCAATTTCGGACGAATAACTTGCGACCACAGAAACACAACACCAAAGGCAACAGTGCTGGGTGGCAAATTTCTCCGTTACCACAAATATCCTCTCTCCTTGGGGGCTGCATCGGAGGCATCTGCGCTGTCTGTGCCTCCCTCCCGTCCTCCGCTGGGCTGGCGGCGCCCCGGTAGCAGCCACATGCCGGCCCTATGCTTCTCCCGCAGCGCTGTCCGCCTGTCACCAGATTCGCAGTTCCCGTTTCGTTACACTTTTCCAAGCGCCGAAGGAGCCTTCTGTCCCAGGATAAGGAGGTGCCTGGTGCAGAGCTCCATCTCTCAGATACCCAGGACTCCGTCTGATGCGGGCTGTGGGGACAAGAGGGTGATGAACCAGGGCCTTGTCTGCTGCTCCAGTCTGCAGTTTGCCCCGACATGTGTGGCCTCAGATGCCTGCTCTGTCGAAATTTGGAGGTAAAGGGGGTCTGGGCCACTGGGCTCCAGGGGCGCTGTGTTCCTGCTGGTGTTCCTGAAGTTTCCATGAAACTTCAGGAAACTCAGGAACACTTTCAGGATCCCCTGATGTTCCTGAGTTTCACTGTGTCAGGCAGACACAGTTCTGAAGGAGTTTCACTGCCGCACCCCCCAGCCCCGCCTCTGTTCTTTTTAGTCTCCCAACAGTGCAGCAGGGAAACTTGCAAACATATGGAGAAATTCCCCTTCGTGAATACCCACAGAGTTGTCGCTGAGATTCTGCACATTGCCAAAATTCTGTGATTCTGGCTTTATCACTTTTCCTCCCTCTCTTTCTCCCTTCCTTCCACCTCTCCCCCCTCTTCTTTCCATCCATCCATCCATCCTCCCATCCATCCATCTAGTCAGCCAGCTAGCCAGGCATCTTATTCTTTTATTAGACTATTTTTTTTAGAACAGGTTTAGAGTTCCAGAAAATTGAGACGACAGTAGAGAATGCCCATATACCCCACACCAGGTTTCCCCGATTGCTAACATCTTACATTAATATATTACATTAGTGCAATTAATGAACCGATACCGATATGCTATTATTATTGAAGTCCATACTTTTTTTTCATAT